TGATGAGTAGAGGAAGTCATCTTCCATTTCTGCTCTCCAACAACATTTAATGGCCTCTTCTCATAACAGGGCAATTTGGCAGTCTGGGTACACCCTGTGCAACCAGGTTCTTGGAAATAGCAACACTGTTCTTGAGAGATGAAAAGTTAACAATGTCAATGATTATCAACTGTACACGCTTCCAGTTTGCGTTATATCTTCAGTGTTTACAGAAAAATAGCGATAACAGAAGCAGCTAATGAGTATGCATTTATACCTGTTTCACCCAAGGTATTACGTTCTTCTTGATTCTCAGTTCCCTGCTCTGAGCTTCACTCAGTCCCAGGCATTTCCCAATCTGCTTATCTGAGAAACCGATCTGCTTGGCTCTCCTCAGGCTCTCTTCTGGAACAGAGTCACTGCAATCAACATAAAGCATACAAAAAAGAATGCATAATGGATATAGGTTTCATGTTCTGCTCCTATATTTTTCAGCCTCAGGGGAGGATGAAATGTACACGGAATAAAGTGAACAGCAGAGAAAATGGTGAGGAGCCAAACTCAAATCTTTTCCTATCAATAAATCCCACCCGTTCTCTTAACTTCCGAGTGCTTAAAATATTGCTGTTTCCTTGGAGAAAATATGTGATCCAGAACAATAATTGGCTGCTAACCCAATTATCTGGGATAGAAAGATTTTTCTCTGAGGTCACGTCCGACCCGTAGCTTATCAAGAGATTCAAAACTATTTCCTTGGGTATCTCTCACAAGTAAGCAATTCTGGAAGGAATTATTCCACTGTAATTTTATACTCTTTAATTCAAAAAATGTAGAGATTATATTTACTATCCGTTTTAATTATGTATTAATCAAGAGAAAGCTTTAAAAAGCTCATAAAAACATTATACACTACAAAATTCAATTTGTATTCTTAAAATAAAAGCAGAAATTGTAGTTATGCCCAATAGTTATCTCATACATAAAATATTTAAAATAGTCCTGATTCATTTATTCCATATGAGTTGATTAAATCTGTTCAGTATTAAAATACTTTATATTTGTATTTACTTTTTTTTTTTTACCTGACCCTAAACAATACGTAAAAGTTTTCCCTAAAAATATCATTATCTGTGTCCAGTTTTATATAACCAACCCTCACTCCCATGTCCTGGTTGCTAAAATCCTGTTCTTTCCACCAGCAACTTTTACCTGCAATATAAGAACAATTTGTGCATTCACCAACATATTAATATTGCATACTATAATCAGTTTATTATGAATGCCTATGAAAACTTCTGAAATGGTACTCGGTTTCTTTAATAATATTGCACCAATCAAGGTTTCCACCTTCTCATACTTTCTGCCTGAAATAATTGCTAGATTTAAATTGTCATTTTAAGTTACCAACTTCAAGTATGCACAGCTGTTCCATTGTGAAACAATTGTAAAAATAAAATAGCAGTTTCAGCGTGATGAAAGAGCTTGCAGGTGTGTTTTTAAAGACACTGTCTATAATTTTTAAAGAAATCTCGTAGAACAGGTAAGGTGTAAGAATAATGGCGGAGACAGATACTTTCTGTTTTTTATCCTCAAAAAAAAAGAGATAAATTATAAACAAGGCATTATTTTGGAACTAATTATTAAGCAACATATCTGCAATTGTCTAGGAAACAATTCATTGATTACTGGAAGCCAGATAAATGTATTAGAAATATATCATGCCAAATGACTTGTGTATATAAATCAATATAATAAATCATGGGCATGAGTTCATGGTTTACTATAAAGTTTTTCATGATATCCTTATAGACAAGACTGTAAAGTACAATTTAAAAAATAAATCCTGGATTAAGAGCTGGTTAAATAAGTTAAATAACTTCCATTATTGGCTCTATGTTAAGATGAAAGAAAATCTTCAGTATAATATGATAGCCTTGTGTTCTGAAGCCTCTGCTATTCAGTATTTTATAAATGTTCTTAGCAGGTATAGCAGATAACATAGCTCTAGCCGCTTCTTATCTGGGATCAGAAGCTAAGTAGAGTCATCCAAGTTTAGGACTTCAGACAAGAAAGGCCAGGGCTCAGGCTAGAGAGGAAAGTTTAGTGGGGGAGTCATAGGGCCCCAAGTGATAATAACCATGAGAGAGAATTTCCTTGGCAACACTACCTGTGATCTGATCCAAGTAATGGGAAGATAATCTGAAGTTGAATAGAGATACAAGGCTGCTAAAAAAGATCATGTAGTCCTGGTTTCATTCTCAATAGCATCATTTCCCAGACCAGAGGAAATAATTATCCTGCTCTTTTCTATTAGACAAGCTACACTGAAATTAAGTCCCACATCTTAAGAAAAATATTGACCACAGAAGCACATCCAGGGAAAAACAATCAGGTTGGGGAGGGAGTTGAGACAGGTTGCAAACAATGTTTACATGAAATATTAAAACTGGATTTGTTTGGCCTGAAAGATATCAAAGAAAAACTGGACAAGAGTCTTCAAATATCAGAAACTGAGAATTGTTTCCTGTTTACCCCCTGTTCTGCTTTGGTATGGTTTGGAGCTGTATTTTAACGAAAAGAAAGAAAAGCTCGCATAGATTTTGAGCTCTTTTGCTACTTCTTATTAAGAAGGTCTTTGCTTAGAAATTTAACTTGCAAATAAATAGGCTTCACCACTTACAGTTTCTTTCTCCTTTAGATCTTATGGTAAGGAGCTTGAAAAGCTTGTGAAAGCCTTTGGTAAGATATTCCTACAAATGCAATACAGAAAAATGACTTCCCTTATAAAGTAGCAGATGTTTAGTAAAACGATTTGTAAGTGGCATAAGCAGTAGTAGAAGCATGACAATAAAACCATGCAGGCATTGTAAGATGACCCTGGAGGAAAAGGAGAGAGATAACAGAAACCAGCCTATTGCCTTTTTTTTTTGGTGTGAAGGAAGGGGTATAGGAGAAATCAACTTCTGCACTAGTAAAAGTAGCAATAGTAAACTAGATAAAGTTGGAAGATGTGCAATCTCACCCCTTACTTCTTAGAAAGTATCACTTAATTCAGACAAAGAAAATGCAGAGTAACATGCTTAGAATTATCTCCCTTCCCTGTTATTTTTTGTATTTTAATAAGAATCTGCCGCCATGAAAACAATTGATATATGTACTGATTGGAACTTAGTTCCAAATCTGTTTGAAGTTCAATTCCCCAAGTATTGATCATTAAAGTATAATTTAGAAACTTATAGTACATCATCATAATCATTAGCAGTTGTAGTGTTTATTATATTTTTATGCCGCTCATCTCTGTTAGAAAATGACTCTTGGGTGGCTTTATGTTATAAGTAAGATAGAATGACAATTTGCAAATGAACAAAATAAAATAAAAAACCAACGTAATATATCAATTGGTCACCACTAGTTGTTAAGGTAAGTTACTTATAAAGCCCTTCATGGTATTGGACCTGGGTACTTGAGAGACCGCCTGCTGCCAATTACCTCCCAAAGACCCANACTTGTGGACTTCAACTCCCAGAATTCTCCAGCCAGCAGAGAATTCTGGGAGTTGAAGTCCACAAGTCTTAAAGTTGCCAAGTTTGGGAACCACTTCCATAACAGAATTCTTCTATTAACTGGGCTTTTGTAGGATATAGACCTACCACTACATATCTGCCTATAAGACCGTTGTTTTTCTCTTTCAGCCTTAATGTTTCTAGACAAATAGATTTAATGAAATCACAAGTTAGCGTGTCAATGGTCCACTGTTAGTACTAAAAAAAAAAACTGTTTATGAAAACAGGGACTGGATTTGACTAATCGGGAAACGATGAAGTGAAACAGTTGCTTGTGGTAGAAGAAGCTTGAAAAAAATTATAGATAACTCTTCACATGGCTAATGATGAAATGGGAACCTTATTTAAAAAAGGAGATGAATCAAAACTTTGTATGGCAAAAATTGAAGCAGGAATTAACTGGTGAGTGTTTCTAGGGAAAAAAGGCACTGTACTGTACAACTGATATACAGTTTTTGCTATTTTAATTATCAGTTAACACTATGCAATGAAGAATTTCAGTTTGGTTTACAAAAAAACCCAAATATCTGCAACTGAACCGATCTGTTCTTCAGTCTCATTAACCAGAAACAGTAGAGTACAGAGATAGAGAAGTTTAAATCCTATTTAAGTTTGTGGGATTCCTGGGTGGCCTCAAGCAAATAACAGAATAAAACAGAATAACAGACTTGGAAAGGATATTGAAGGTTTTCTAATTCAACCTCCTGCTCCTACGCCATTCTGGACAAATAGCTGTCCAGTCTCTTCTCAAGAACCTGTAGCAATGGAGCACCAACAATGTCTAAAGGCAACTTCTGTTCCACTGGCTAATTGTTCTCACTGTCAGAAAAGTTTTCCTTAGTTCTTGGTTGCTTCTCTCCTTGATTAGTTTCCATCCATTGCTTCTTGTCCTGCCCTCAGGTGCTTTGGAAAATAAGCTGACCACCTTTTTTGTGGCAGCCCCAAAATATTGGAACAGTGCTATCATTGCACTCCTAGTCCTTCTTTTCACTAGACTAGTAAACCCATTTCCTACAATTGTTCGAGAGCCGAGGTGGCACAGTGGTTAGGGTGCAGTACTGCAGGCCACTTCAGCTGACTGTTAGCTGCAGTTCGGCGGTTCAAATCTCACCGGCTCAANGTGGGGGCGATATGCTGACTCTGTAAACCGCTTAGAGAGGGCTGAAAGCCCTATGAAGCGGTATATAAGTCAAACTGCTATTGCTATTGCTATTGTGTTTGAAGAGTATACTTTACGTAATATATCTTGAGGTTTTCGTTACAATTTTAAATCTAAAATTCCAGTTTACTAAGCAAGCAGCCAACAGGATAAATATGCCAGTCTCTACATTAATCAGATGCCCAGATGCTGAATGGTGAAACTGTTAAGTTTCTAAGTATGGCATTCTTAATATCACAATCTGTTCAGTAATCAATCAATGCAGGAATTTCAGCTTCTGCTAATAGAACAAGTTTTACCTCAAAACGTAAGAAGGTCTCAACAAGCAAGGGTAGCCCACTGAATTTGCAAATTCCACAGCGTCTTCCTAAAGAATTGGAAAATATACTTTATTTATAACGCTGGTAATATTAAACTCAACCTTCCCCATGCTGTAGATTTTCATATCACTGCATTTGGATACATGTGCAGAGAACCTGACTCATCCAACATTTCCTATTTCAATAAGGCTCAAACTCATTACTTGCAACTCTGTTAATCATTCTGTCTTTCTCCCTTTTTAAATTAAATTCTCTGACAAGTTGGAGATGCTGAACCTTCTTCCTATGAAAAAGGAGAGTTTTTTGTTATTTCTTTATGCTACAATATTGCCAAAGAATAAACGCAACCTTCCAATTAAGCAGATAAAAATTATGTCATGGATGTTGGCTTCAACTAGTGTCTAAAACCAACTTCCAAATAGATCTACCTACCAAGGAGCTGACTGCTTTCCACGGTGCCTGGGCCACCTGCAATTCATCAAGGACACCTGAGAATACAGATCTGTCTTCTGCACGATCAATCTGCAGTGGATTGGTACCCATAATTTTAACTCCATTTCTGTAAAGTGGCACAGCTAGATTATTTGGGATCTGCCCTCCTACCGAGATGATGCAGCCATCACAGGCCTAGGAGCAATCCAGAGAATACAAAGTTATTACATACAACATTTGCTAACAATTTCAACATTTCATTTCCCCAACACCCAGTCTGTTGAAATGTTGGGAAGCAAAGGAAGAAACTCTTCCCACTTCTGGCACCTCCACCAAAATCTATTCAAAAGGATTGGGTACTCATTGGAGGTCCATATTTGATTTATCTAAGCAGTGCAACCAAATGCATGGCGGTAAGACAATATGATGAAATCTTATTTCACTTTTGAACCGATCCCATTAATAATAGTATGGATAGCTGGTGTTTTTAAGCGCATCCATCCTCATATCCCCTTACCCCTAGAAGCATCTCTTAATGAAACTAAGATTCATGAATCTCTAATACACGGATCCATCTCTATCTTTTCAGAAAAGCAGCTGGTCTTATTTGCAAATGGCCTCTCTTACATAGTTGAGCTGAGAACTCTTCCACTGGTTTCCCTGAAATCAGGGACAAAACTGAACATGTATTATGTTCTGCATTGTAACCTTTTAAGATCAACCAGGTAAGAAACAAGTGTAGAGAAACTTTTGAAAACATGGCAATGTTTGTTTCTGACAATATACATTAAAAAAAATATATACTAATCTTAAGGAGCCCTAAGACTATCACAAAAAAGTCAACACTTCTCATGAAGTTATTATAATGCCACATATACATACATGTGTGATGTCCTTAAGTTTATATTTCACAGTTGAAAAATTACATCCATATCAACACTATTGTCCTCAAGCATAAAATTAAGCATGCGTTTAATTGTTTTCACTGTCACAGGCTGAAATTAAGCTCAGCAAGGGCAGGACAATTTATGTCATAAATAACTGTGAAATAATTAAATTAGCTTATACATATTGTGCAGTATGTCATCTTTGAAACACAGTTATATATTTATTTGGCATTCATTACTGAACAGTAACTAGCATTAACTACGTGTTGCAAGATATGATGTCAGTATCTAAAACTAGCCACTTTAAGAAATTCCCTGCTAAAAATGGAAATAAAACTTTGATTTGACAAATGATTCAGCTTATTTTATGAGGTCTCGAGCTTTCTTACGCTGAAAATATTTGGACCGTTTTTGAAATGAATTACCTCCTGTTGGTAGATATCCAAGATCCTCTCAAGTGATAGTTCCTCAAAGTAAAGCCTGTCACATTCATCAAAATCGGTGCTCACTGTCTCTGGGTTACAGTTTACTACAACTGTCTTCTCGGAGAGCTGACGCAAGGTACGGATGCAAGAAACAGCGCACCAGTCAAACTCCACGCTACTTCCTGCCAAAAACAGAGTTGGAGTTTTTAACAAACAACATCAGGCTGGAGGTTTAAAAAGCAACTACTATGTCAAGGTCAGAGGAAGGAAGTTTGCAGCTGTAACATCATGCCTGTATCCACTGACAATATGTCTTGCCTTGATAAAAGGAGTGCCTTTGTGAATTTCTGGGTAGTTAATAAATCCGCTGAATAGCAGCTTCTCAAAATTAATTTAACACAGGATGGGTCAGGCTGCAAGCTATTTATATGTCTTAATAGAAAATGTTTATCTAAAACCATAGCTTAAAACATAATAAATAAATCCATTTTCTGCCCAGCTATTCAGCATGTTTGTGGAAAATATTTATGGGTTCTGGCCTTGCATTTGATTTCCACCCTTTTGGTGAAATTTCCAAGTGGGTTTCATATATAGATATCTGTACTGTGCATTCAGTTCAGGAAATCAGATATAGATTCAGCATTTTGCCCTTCAAAATATGTGGTAAACATATCAATGAAATATGGAAGTAGTTTAGTCATTTCAACTCCCAACTAAAAGGCTAGCAGTGCCTTTTAGTTGGGAGTTGAAATGACTAAACTACTTCCATATTTCAATGATATGTTTACCACATATTAAATAGTTAACACTATTTGAAATAAATGTTAATGCCATACATATAAGTATTAAGTCTGTTAAAAGTATAAAGACAGTATAAATCAAAAGTGGGGAGTATTGCTATGAAAAAGCGAGGAGGTAGAGAAGATCCCTTGGCCATTTCCTATCATCACATCTTCATGATCCTTAAGATTTATTTCTATACAAGCTTTTTCTGGATTTCTAAATTACATTATTAGGAGTTCTCCATCTGGAAAACAGTTCTTTCATTCTAAACCTACAAAATGAAATGCTTGAGAACACTGAAATAGCAATTGTTTGGCATATAGAATTGAAGCACTACAAGAAACAACGTTACACAAGAGAAGCTTCTCAGCTGGAAAAATGCGGAGAAGTTATAGAAGCAAGATTTACCTATATGATACGGTCCACAGCCCAGCACCATCATTCCATGGTCATCAAATTTTACATCATGTTCCTAAAATAGAACACAATAAAAGAAGTCGCCAGGAATTATTTTCAGCAGTATCCTCTGGGCTCATGGGAATAAAATATTTCTGGCTCACAGTTCTTGACTGAAAATAAAACTGTAAGGGCTTAATTTGGTCATATTTGCTTTACTTTTTTTTTTCTTAATATAGGGCCCTTTTAAAGAAGTTGGTACAGTCATGTAAGACACAGCCTAGGCTTGTTGAAAAATAATAGATAATAGCATGAATAATGACCTTGCAAAGGAGGATTATCATCTTGCAATATCGTATTTAGTATTAGTATTGATTTGTGGAATATTGGAATCTCAAGGAATGCTTATATAGGGCACAGCCCAAGTACAACACTGAAGTTATGATACAGTTAATCACTTTGTTGCCAAATTTAGGATTATAAAAGGGGACCATACCTAAAAAGGTTCATGGGTGGGAGACACTAAAATTGGGCTTGGAGTTTCTTGGAGTAGCTATTTGTATTTGTATTTGTATTTATTTGTCTTGTATGCCGCCCACTCCCGAAGGACTCCGGGCGGCTCACAATAGACAAGGGAAGGGGAAAACTGTAGACAAAGACAACACATTAAAAAAAACCCGCAACATTCACAGTTTCCGTGGGGCTGGATGTTTCCCAAGCCCCCCCCCCCCGGCCTGCTGGAGCAGCCAGGACTTGGTGGCTTTGCGGAA